ACAAAATCAGTGTGTTTTCCATCTTCTACCATTACTTCCAAGCATTGCCAGACCTTACTGAGCACCCTGGCACACTGCACAGCGCTGAATTGAGGGAGGAATTTCTTGTTTTTCAGCAAATAGGATTAAAAAACTGCACATGGACACAACATAACCATATGACAAGTTACTCATCTGCCCCTTTCCATGGCCCAAATGCAAGGTGTATTCTCCAACTCCACTCACAAATCCATAGCAGCTCCAAGCTTGCTGGGTGCCTCATCAAAACACCCCTCCTGTGGCTCACTGTCTTCCTAGGCTAGTAACACACTCCTACCAGGAAAAGTGAAGGAAAGCTTCAGGAGGAAATTTGTAGATCAATGGTTGCTGCATCAATATAGACTTTCACATCTGCAACAGTCATCTGGCATCAGTGACACTTGACAGCTGTGCCCATTACATTTGTGTTACAACTTTTGCATACATTGAAAGTGGGTCAATATTCCTTGGAAAACTAACAGAGTTGTGGCTTTGGACAGCTTGCTTATTACTTCCGGTAGCATTGGCATGATGTACCTTCTTTGCACTGTTGCCAGAAATCAACTAAAAGGAGGAAGAAAAACCTTTGTGAGGAGTTTTTCCCTATCATAATTCATTTTCAGGACTAGGAGGTTCATCATACAAAGAATTAATATCCTCTTCATTGGTTTCATTTTTCTGAATGCCTTATCTTGGTTTTCTGGGTCAGTTTTTAGTTGTATCATTAAATTATAGTATAGCTGACGTTTATAAGCATTTGCAAGAGCCATGAACTCAAGGTTTTTTCCCAAATGCAGCTTCTACTCATGGTTATATCAGATAAATACAAATATCAATGGAAAACATGCAGGGGAGGAATATAAGGGAAAACACACTAAAATCTACAGAGTGAAAGACACAGAAGCAGCAGTTAGTCAACAGTCTATGGAAAACAAGGGCTATAGATTCCAGAGGTGATGAGACTTATATAAACTTCCCATTAAAAATTGCTTCTCCTTTCATACCAGTGTCCTCACACATGTTCTTAGGATGGGCAACACCATGGAAAATATCTAGCACAGAAACATACCTTCCCCCAATATGGTCTAGCCCTTGGAGCACTGCAAACCTCTACTGGCCTCAAAGGCTCATGCTATAATTGCAATGGAATTTAAAAGGACAAATTTTAAGAGTAATAAATAGCTCCAATAAATCTTAACCACTGCGTGCTGAGAGGTCTTATCAGTATGTGTTCCTTATATCAATTATTTATAGAGACTTGGCATTTCATACCTGAAAAAAGACACTGGAATGTGGAGCTTAATTGCCACACTAAACATTTTTGAAAGAATTCATCACACATTAGAATAACTCTCATTCCTGGAAAAATACTCTATTTCTGCATGGCATGTAAAACATAGATCTAACACTGCTCCAGTGACTGCAAATCTGGATTGACAGAATCAACTGAGTTTCTGCTGAGCACCAGGCCCAGCCTAAGGATTAATCCACTGACTCAGCCTAATTACCACCTACACAAGATAAATACCTGCAGTTTTCCCTTTCAGACATAAATGAATGTGATGCCAATAACCCATGTGCACAACAGTGTTACAACATACTGGGTTCTTTCATCTGCCAGTGCAACCCTGGCTTTGAGTTGAGCAGTGACAGAATCAACTGTGAAGGTAAGTAAGGGGTTTTTTGTGTCTTCGGAGAGGAACTTTTTGGTTTGGTTTTGGTTTTGCAGAAGGCTTTCTGTGAGCTAAGGGACATAATTCAAGTGGAGCCACCCTGTGGGTGCCGTTTGTAGCCAAAACCCTTAAGACATTTATTTTTTTAAGTTGCAAACGTGGCTGCTAATTCACACCTTAGTACTGCAGCTGCACTCAGGTGGGTGTCTCTAAAAGTAAGTGCAAAACAAGATATATTAGTGCACTTGAAATCACAGCTGGGAAGAATAAGGCTTCTGAACACTTATTTCACAAACTCACTTGTATTGTGTGTGGTCTAATGCTGATGACCATTAAATGAATCAGAAAGGAATGCAAACCAAAAACAAGGGCAATTCTGTGTGTTGTTAGGCTCTTCTGAAAATAAAACCTCAAATTTTTGATTTTAAGGAAGCGACAATTGTGCTTTTGAGGTGCTTTCAAGCCTGTGTATACAAACAGCATGTCTCCTGATGATTATACAATCAACACTTTATTTCCTCTGCCAGCGGCTCCACAGGGGTCCTCTAATCTCCTTTTGGACACATGATGATCTCACCCTTAAAGCCCATATCCTTTTTACCAGCCTTTGAGCCAAAGAGGTCTCTGGTTTACCACTGCCCTCCTAAACGAGCTAGGAGAGCTATTACAGATGCTCCCTCGCCAAGCTGCTTAAGCTAATCCTATTTGCAAGTGAACAGAACAGGGAGCAGCAAGTATGCAGCCTCCAAGGACGATCCTGACATAAAATCAAGAACTGGGCACAAACCTCAGAGATAGTAGGAGGGAGTTACGCTGCTTTCCAAGCCAATCCCTAGTTTTGGTAGGTTTAAATTAATTTCCTGTCGATAGCATACACTGTTAAGTTCTGTTTCACACTGGATTTCTCTCACAAGGGACCGATGGTTACACAAGGATAAAAAAGCAAAGGAGAATGGTATACACTGAATATTATTAGAAGGCAAAAAAAAAAAAAAAAGAAAAAGACCTTTCCCTCTTTCCCAGAGAGCTACTCCACTGGTGCAGGGCACAAGTACAAAGGCAACATTTTTGCCTTACTAACTAATCTCCTGTCGGTGGGTTTTTTATTCCCCTCCAAGTAATCATGTTTTGGAATACTACAAGTATAGATGCTTTCAAGAGCTGTTTTCCCAAACCTGTTCTGTAGTCTAAATTAGCTTCTGCTTCCTCAAATCTGAAATTCTCCTTCTGTCTAGCCACTGTAAAGAAAATTAACTCTACATTAGCCAAAACCAGCACAGAAGATTATTGATAAACTCCAGTGGAACTGTCCCTTCCATTTGCAACTCTGAGGCATTAAACAGTACATTTCAGGGTTTTGATAACATTCTTTTTAGACACAACTGTTTTTCAAGCATTTTGCTGCATAGTTCTGCAACAAGGTAGATGCTAAAAGCAAGTAACTTGAAGCGCTTTGCTCTCTGCAGACACTGATGAATGCAGAACCTCAAGTTATATATGTCAGTATCAGTGTGTCAACGAACCGGGAAAATTCTCATGTGTGTGCCCTGAGGGATACCAGGTAGTAGGAGGCAGAACATGTCAAGGTAAGTGCCCTCAGCTTAGCAGGCTCAACCCTGCATTGTTCACACCATTTCAGGCAAGACTAAGAATGCTTCCTATCTAAACGTGTATATTTCATGACAAGGCTACTATGATGTTAGCAGACGATGTGTTGATAAAGTATTTGATGATTGAGTATCTTATAATCTCATTTGAATCCTACAGCTCAAACTCTCAAGTCCTTCAGATTTCTAGGACAAAATTTCAGTTTTTGCAAACTGCAGGTAAAATTTGTCTTGGATGTCAAGGTATGGGTCTAAGTTTCAGAGATAAACATCCCAGAATAAAATCAGGCCATTTTTTTTACAGACACAAAACATGGCTTTATATCATGTTTCTTTTTAGAGAGATTCCTAAATCCAGTCACAGTAGAAATTAAAGAATTTTTCTTCTGATAAAAGGGGAAAGAAAAACGCACAAGCCTTCAGGAGCTTAGCTACTTTGTGTGTAGAAAAATAAGCGTTCTGGCCACCAAATGCCAGAATTTTAATGTTTGTGTTTTTACCTCACTGGTGCTAAACATTTCTGCATCTCATTAGAGAATACTGCAGAACAACGTACTAAATGCAAGAACCATTGCTTCTGTAATCCAGAACCTGATTTAACAGTTATTTTTAGAAATAGATGTGATAATTATTGGCAGAAGTAATGAGAAAATAACTGTTTATTAATATTTTTTATTAAATCCAGATTAACTTCTTTCTCCTTGTAAGAACAGCAGCTGATACTGAACACCGTGGGTTAGTTTAAGCATCTAAAATCTGATTGCATTTGAATAAACCCTTTCTGTGAGCATGTGAAATTCAGACCATGTAGGCAGTCAGTGTGGCTGTGGCACTGACAGGAAGTAGGGCATTAATACAGTGCAAGGCTGACAGTCCTCACCTCCCTTCGGGGCTCTTTTCCCAGGCAAAAAAAGGAAGCTCTGCTTTGCACAATAAACAGGTTTTCATTATTCCTTTCAAAGCTATTTCAGTTAAAACATAGCCATTAATTAGGCATTTCAGATCATGAAACCCACGTTACTAAAAATGAGAACCTGCAAAAGAGAGGAAATCACAATTCTTCCTTGAGGTGTTTTTCCTCTGTCTTCAAGACATCTGCTCTAAAATTATTCTTTGCTGATTATAAACTTTACAGTATTTCTTCAGTTACATCACATATGATTAATGTGTATCTCCAGTCACCCCAAAAAAAATTCTTCAGTCTTACTTGACACTCAATAAACAAGTTTATCCCACTTCTTCACAGAGAGATCCTTTCTAGCCGTGTCCCAGAAAAGCAGTAAAAGAACACTGAAGCCTAATGGGTTTCAACAGACAAGCAGGTGGCTAGTTCTTTGGTTGTTTTGGAGACATAGTGTTTGTCTTCATAGCAAATCTGCTTTGACACAGTCCCTTTTCCTTCCTCTTAGATATAAATGAGTGTGAGACAACTAATGAGTGCAGAGAGGATGAAATCTGCTGGAATTACCATGGAGGATTTCGCTGTTACCCAAGAAATCCTTGTCAAGAGCCTTATGTCCTTACATCTGAGAAGTAAGAGAAAAATTCATCTGTTTTAGGTTCATCCTAAAAACAACATGATCAAATAAACCAGAACATTATCTTTTAATATATTTAATGTCAATTTTTGTTTTTCAGCCGCTGCGTGTGCCCTGTATCTAACACCATTTGCCGAGAGCTGCCTTACTCTGTGGTGTACAAATACATGAGCATCCGCTCAGACAGGACAGTGCCCTCTGATATCTTCCAGATCCAGGCAACCACCATTTACCCCAATACTATAAACACATTCCGGATCAAGTCTGGGAATGAAAATGGCGAATTTTACCTGAGAGTGAGTACTGGGGGGAGTTGGACCCTGGGTATTAAATAGATACATATGAATGGAAGTGTCTAGAACATCTGCTGATTTTTTGGAAGGAATCTGATTTTCTTGGACCCTTGTAATATTTACAAGTTCCTGGGAAATCCTTTGTGTTTCATATGAGGCTTTAGACTCAGTAAAGCAGAATCAGCACAAAAAGCTTCTATCAGAAATGTATTAACTGGAAGATTTTAATTTTCAATTATTCTCCTTCAAATCAGGAGATTGGGGGATGTTGACAGTACATCCAACAAGTGTACCAAGGTATGGCATTGCCATTTACACCATGTTTCCCCAAGATGGGACCAAAGAACTACTCACCTATATCTCACTTCTGGCAAAACCTATAATCCCGTGCTTTTCCCTGGATTTATTAAACATCGAAACCCCATAACTACCCTCAAAATACAAGATTATTTGCTTAAAAAACTCACTTGTGTTAGACCCCAATCGAAGCCTTCAGACTGACTGAGAGTAACGATTCCAATCTCCTGTTGCCACCTAACAAGAAATCACAGGCCTTAAATAAGGAAGCACATGTTTATTCCTGCCAAGAGACTACAGTAATCAAAGGCTTACTTAGAAGTTATTCCTACTGTTTTAGTAAAACTCTGAACTGGGTTCTGGATACAACAGATGGATTGGATTCATCTGTACACCCTTCTTGTGTGACATGGTGAGAAAATGTTTGTAGTAGGTGAAGGGAGAGACGGAGTTTACCCTTTTATCATCATCTGGAAATGACAAAGCTGTTTAACAATTTAGCAGCATGGCACAGCCAAGGCCTGACAGTGTTCCCCAGCAGCATGATCCCAGACTGGGAAAAGTGCTTTGGAGCAATACAAGATGGGGACAGCAACAGGTAGGACCCACCAGCTGCACAAATTCCCAGTGTTTACAAGGGGAGCATGACTTCTGGCATATAAGCCATGAGATAGGCTCTGAGTTTCCTTCCACTGAACAAGCTACATCACTGTTAAAGACATTATGTCTCTTGTTTTACTTATTCTCCATATATTTTAAAAGCTGATAGATGGGGATAAAAACAAAGACTGTCCTGGGACAGATTAGCACTTCTCACATCCTTCAGGAGAGTCAGCATAACCAGTACCAGATTTTGCAGTGCAGTTTATTCCTCTGAGCCTCGGTCAGGTAAAGTTTTCCCTTCAGCAAAGCCAGGTGTGAGATTAGTCATAGCCATTTAAAGAATACTTGCATTGTGTGTGTCTGTGCTGAGACAGAACATGTGTACAGAGTAGTAACACACAAGCACTCTCTTGACACAAGTAGAGAGTCATTGTGGATTTGACCAAGTTAAATTTTGTTGTTCTTGCAGCAAACCAGCGCAGTGAGCGCGATGCTTGTGCTGGTGAAGTCCCTCTCAGGACCCAGAGAGCACATTGTGGACCTGGAGATGCTAACAGTCAACAGCTTGAACTATCGTACGAGCTCCATGCTGAGACTAACAATAATAGTGGGACCTTATGCATTTTAGTGGTTTGCAATAACCCTTCACTGGCACTTAAAGCAGCCAAAGAATATTATGGTAAAGAAAGCACTTACTATTTTATTTATAGATTTTGCTCTCTTTTTTAAAGATTTGTTTAGTAAGTTGATATCTTTTATTCACACATTACACCTGTAATTCCAAATTAGTAGATGTGTTCCATAGTATAACATGGGCATTGTCACTTTCTGTATAAAGATTTAAATCCTTTTCATTATCTTCCTTGGACTAGATACATGCTATGCTTTTGTATGAGAACTGTATGTTCATACTATCCTGTAAAACTTCACACACCCTTCCTAGCCAAATAGGTCATGCAATTTAAAAGTGATCTTCCGTGTTGTTTTTCTTTTCAATTCTAATGCAGCTACACTGAATCTCAAAAAAGAAAAAAAGTTATCTAGTATGAATGATACACAAAGTTATCTGATAAGCTAAAATATATTTCTTTTTAACTGCTTAGGAACAAAAGATAACAGTCAATAAAAATCTATTTCTGTAGACATTTACGTGCTATCACAATTGGTTTTTCTAATCTGGGTTGGAGGTGAAGTTACATTGTGAGAAATGCTTTGCATCAGGTTTTTATATGCAGATTGTGTTAACTGCACCACAGAATAACATTCTGCTCTCTCCAATAAAAATAGACCATAGGAAGAATATTTCTCCAACAAAGAAAGAAACTCCAAATGGAAAATCAGGGCACAAATGTCCATGCTCTCTCCTGAGAACACTGTTGATAGTAACGGGTTAGAGGGATGCAGCATTTTCAGGCAGAAGTTAACATATTATTTTACCAGAAATACTATGTTGTATACTAAGAATTGAGTGCATTTTCTTACTAAGTTATATCATTTCCAGGCACTCGGACCTGTTCCTGCTCTTACAGCTCAGATGTATCATGTACAGTGTTCATAAAATTTATTTCTAATTCAAGAACTAATAACACCTTTTGTAATATGTAAAATCTTATTTCTTGTTTAAAATGCAGTAGTTAATCCTTTGATGTACAAAATTTTTAATAAAGATCTCTTACCATATTGTATTTAGTCTATCTTGAGGTAGTTTGTTACTGCTACCATTATTGTCAGCTACTGTGGGAGTCAGCCAAGCTCCATCAAGTCTGCAGAGCCAGAACAACCAGGTCTCAGTCCATACAGTGTTAGTCCATAGAAGACTAAAACCACAACTCCTTTGCAGAAGGACAAACCTATTTCCTACTGAGATTTAGTTTTATTGACATTAAAAAAGGAAAAATATACCAACACACATGTTGCTAGTTGCTGATTCACAGAAAAGACCCTCTTTTCTGCTTATAATTAATCTTCCATAGAAAATACTTATGAACAGTACATACATTGTGCACAAAGAAAAACCTCTTGTGGTGCAGACCCACAGATCCATAGTCACTGAGTATGTCTGTCACTCTCAGTGATTGCTGTCAGGGGATGTGCCCAGAAAAGCAATGACTTGGTATCCAGAGATCCTGCATGACAAGACAGCAAAAATTCACTCCAGGACATAACTCAGAACAGGCCACAACCACTCTGGTTTAGGGCAACACATCCCCCACACTCAGGGAAATGCAGAGCAGGACCCCATTATCCAATGATCATTCCTTCAGGCAGTCATTTGTGGCTTTAAACAAACACTTCATCTGCCAAAAGGCTGTAGCATAGGTCAAAAAGTAGTGCTGGTGCTGTGTCGCATTTTCTTTGCCTGAGGCCCTGGAGTGGTGGGGTGAGGTCCCAGGTACCCTTCAATTCCTCTGTGCACAGAGGAGCTCACCTGTACAATTCTGGTTTGTAGTTTTGCTTTGTAGAGGGATTTGACTGATGTTTTCAGTTTTTCATGGTGAAAATTCTCCAGTATAGAGTTTGGCTTGTAGGAAGCTCCTTCATCTCCACAAAGAAATTCCTCCCCATTCATCACTACAAATTCGTTTGGTTTGAAAGGCAACTCCTCATTCCACACATGTGCTGAGCAAAATGCCTCTAACCTCCTCCTCCATGCAATTCCTGTGGCAAGCAGCACATGCTCACCTCCACACTTAGTTTGTTAACTATCATTTTCTCTCTGTGTAGCCTGTCCTCACCAATGAGCGGTACCTGCCCCTCAAGCATCCCCCTCCATTCCCAGCATCAGACTGTTCTTTCACAGCAACTTTTAAATTCCAAATTACATAATTCAGCATTGCCCATTCCAAGAAACAGTTGATTTTAGTACCCAGAGGAGGCTGAAGTGGCTTTGTATCCTTCAGTCTCAGTCAGGTTCTACCCCAAAGATTTACTATACCTTCATGCTCTACCAATATTTCCATCAGTTTCATCACCAGCACATTTAAGTCTTCCTTTTAAATATCTGCTCCTCTGACAATGACTCAAAATTTATCAATATATACAGAGAAAAATAATGTCTATACACTTATGAAATGGCAAAAGCAGCAGAGGCAGTTGTACCTCATGCCTGTGCCTAAGCCATACTCACCCTGCTCAGTCCTCCACACCTCAGTTGTGCTAAGCTCACATACTTGGCTTAACCCGTTTTAATTACACACAAACTGTCCTGCCAACTCTGTTCCCTGTCGATTTGCAATATCCAGGTGTACACAAGACCACTGATAGTCCAAACTAGCCAAGTGAGGTATTATCACACAGCTCAGGAGCACGGATCCAGCAGCTTCTCATTGTACTGCTGTGGGTTGGTTCAGGGTGTGGGCACTGCTTTCCATGCATGATGCTAAGCACAGCACTTCCATGAGAGCAGGGAGCTGGAATAACAGCAGCCCCTCCAAACCAAAACATGAGCAGAGCAAGCTGGGAGCTACAGCAGGGCTATGCAGAACGTGGAAGAGGGTGGTTGGTATTGTTTTGGATAGGGGTGTGGTACAAAATTGAGTGCAAGAGTGATAGAAGCCCATAGGCACAATGAGAAGATGGTTCAGAGCCTGAACAAGGAGAGTTTTTGTACATGAAAAAGCCTGCACATTGTTAGGAAGGAAACCTGCAGGTTCATCCAATTCTCCAGGATGTTCTGTGCAAAGCACATGGAGCTGCAGCAAACATGGAACAAGAGTTTGAATTGCTACTCAGATTATACGAGACACTGAAATCCCAATAAATGCTGTGAGAGCAAAGTGTTTGCTCAGCCTTCTCTGTATCCTACCGTCATGATGGTTACCAATAACACACTCCAGGAAAGATTCTCAAATAAATCTGTCGATATTGGAGAAGAATCTAAATGAGGATCACATGCAAAGTTTAATATCTTCTCAGAAATAGAAAGCAGAAAGAAAAAAAATTTAAAATAAAAGGACTCTAAACAGAACTTAAGAAAAATCAAAATGCAAATTCATTCAGTTCCCTGAGACCACCTGAACACAGAGCAGTGGGATTATTTTCTTTGGAAGGCTCACAAATGCAAGTTTATTGTTGAATCCTGTTTCCATGGCTGCAAAGAGTTGCTTGTGTTTTGAATGATCATCCATGTTTCTAACTTTATAACTCTCCTATTAAAATATAGAACAGCTGCTGCCCCAGTCAGCTGTTCAGCATATGGAGCCCACCAGGGACAAGGCCCACTGTTAGCAGGGAGAATTATTTTTAACGCCCTCCCATATCTAAACCTCACCCTCACCTCAGCAAAATGGCACATTTCCACACTTCCCAGCTGGGGGAACACCTGCATAATGCAAAGCTGAGCTGTGCTGCATCTGCTACAAAACCCAATTTGAGTTCATCTGGCCAGCAGAAAAAAGTTATCAGCGTCAGTGAGCAGGGCAAAAAGTTAACTGTGGTTTATATCTGGGGAAAAGCAGATGGCCAGTTAAGATGTTTATATTGCAAACATTTCTGTATATATTAGGAGGAAAGAGAGCTGTTTAATAAAATGGAGTTGGTTTATAGTTGCCAAAGCAAATTTGAAGGACAGTACAACAGCTTTTATTATTTTTTGCATGGGAAAAATACAGTCCAATTTTACATTGGTATCAATTATGTACATTGAACAAGTGATTTTTAAGTAACTGATCTTCAAGTTAACTCTTTTTAAAGCCTCACACTATTGTGTATATTTGCTCAGCAGAAAATGCTGCAAACACGAGGCAGTATTGAAGGCACTCCCTGATTCATTCTCTGGCAGCTCAGCAAACACCTTGTAACTGGATGAGGGGCTGTGTGGCCAAGACACCCAGAAATGTTACTGCATTTAGGTGAGCTCCAGGTTTTGTTTGCTAACATGGTCACTCTGTCACATGCTATTTCTGCTCTTGCTTGAGATAAATTATTTCACTTTGTAATCCAGAATCCCAACAGTCCCAGAAGGAACATAGCACTCTGCATCTCTTCTCCCTCCCAAAAATGCATCTGGATAATTGATATTTTTAAACTTCAACAATTCTTTGTCATTTCTACATACCCACACAGTACATATATATTCAAACAGGGGAAACATTCTCAGCTAAGCACGCCAGCAGCTCCTGCCCTGCAAACACACACTCTGGTGTACTTCATTGCATTGCTTAAATGAAACATTAGATACCCCCTAAAGTCTCTGCAGTTCTGGTCTGCAAAAAGTCCCTATGCAAAAGCATGCCCCATCCCCATCTGTACACCTGAACAAGCATACAGAAAGGCTTTCAGACTGAGCAGCCTACCAGCTGGGTTGACAAAAGCAACATATTTATGCTGTTAAACTCTGAAACCACAGTCATGAAAGTCACACAGACACCTCAAGGCCTAAATCCTACCGATGCCACTCCAGAAATATCTGAACCTGTGACCACCTTGTGGACCCTTGAGGGTCACATTTTCTTCTTGCACTTGGAGTGTTTCTGGAGTATCTATGTGCAATATACAGGAATGTTTCCTATAAAGAATATATACAATAAACACCCAAGTGAGAAGTCAAAAGAGCAAAATTCCTGCAGGCGGCATGGAAACTAGGAAAACAAACAGATTTTGGAAGCTCAGAGTAAGAGCTGCAGAGGGGAAGCCAACATACCAAAACAGCAGGGTAAAAGGCATTATTAAAATCAATAAGTCATTCTCTGAGAGGCTGAGGTTGTATATGAACAAGGAAAATGGAAATGTTCCTGTGATCTGAAAGGTCACACGTGAAAACAAACAAGGCAGGCCAAAGGAGCAACTTGCAAATGCCTGCACTTAGCAAATCAAGCCTCTGCCAGTCACAGCAGAAGTGACCTCCCAGGAGGCTGATGGGGCCAAGCAGGGACCCACACATTAGGGGAACAAGCAAAAAAGAGAGAACGCCATGGCAGAAAAATGAAGTGAAACTTTGTTATGTGTCTGGAGGAAGAATTTGGCACAACAGCACTGTGCCAGAGCTGTTCTTACAGGCAACATATCAAAGGACCTGCCTCAAAGAAAGAAGCGGATAAAATAAAGGGAATAGAACATTTTGCTAATGGTATCCAGTTGTTCAGGTAAAGATGAGCATCCTCTGGAAAACAGAGCCTTTACAGTGCTCTGAATATTGAGCAAAAAATGGGGATAAATATGAAGTAATGCACATGGGGGGAAGTTAGCCCAGATTCATTTGAACAAAGGCCTCTGAACTGACCACCACATCTCAGGAGAATGCTGAGGTTATAAGAGACCATTCAAAAATGAAACCACAACTCCAGAAAGCTAATCCAGCGTCAGGAATAACTGGGGACACAGTAGGGAATGAAGCTGAACCTTTACACGGTTGTGTAAATATACTACAGCTTGAACACAGCATGGAGTTTGGGTCCTGTCCCTTTATGGCAGAACATTGGGAATGTTAAAGCTCAGATCAGGCTGAGAAGTAACTACACACATTAGCGGGAAAGCCTCCCAAGACCCATTAAATACGTGGCTGTCCTGGACAGGAGCTCTTCCCCTGGCACCCGTGGGCACAAGGGAAGCATTTCCAGTTTGCCATTAGCAGCTCTGAAGCTGTTCCACATCCTTGCTCTACTGTCAGCACAGTCTGTTAGGATGCCAAATGACTTAAAACTGAAAACCACACCAAAAGAAACAAGGGGGGCAGCCTGCACAAGGC